GGAAGAGGAGGAGGAGGAGAGACCGCAGAAGATCAGACGAAGTTCTTCTTTGAAAACGGGAAAAACTCCACCAGGCACTCCTGGCAGAAAGAAGATCGTCCGATTCGCGGATGTGCTAGGCCTAGATCTCGCCGACGTGCGCACCTTCTTAGACGAGATACCGAAAATTCCTAACTCAGCGTATAGCGATTTGATATACGACGATATTTTCCAGAAGGACACTAGCCCCGTTAACACCTTGCCGAATTCCAGCCAATGGGGAGCCAGATACGTAGAAAGTAGGCGTGGCTCCGCATGCGCGATCCCTCCCCGCAAATTAGACAGAACTTTGGTGCCTCTGTTCCAGCAGCCTGGCGGCCAGCCGAACTTTCTCGACTTGGTTCGGGAGCGTCGCGTGTGCCTAGAGAACGTGCTCGTTCAGGATCCCCTCACGTTCTGCATCCAGGGCACTGTCCGCGTGATCAACCTCGATTTCCATAAATCGGTGCACATCAGATACACGTTGAACTCGTGGCGTAATTTCAGCGACCTGCAGGCCACCTACGTGCCTAATTCGTGCGACGGTTTCAGCGACAAATTCTCGTTCCTTCTCTACTGTCACACGTTGCCAGTCGGTCAGAGACTCGAATTTGCCGTTCGATTCCACTGTAAGGGAGAGCAGTACTGGGACAACAATGCTGGTTTGAATTACTGTTTCCAGTGTTTGCCAGCTTCGCCGACCGTTGGTTATATACCAATCACGGCACAAGCGAACCAGCATCATCACGATTGGTCACCCGTGTTTTATTGATTAGCGATTGATTATACGATTACCGTGTGCGGTGCCCGCACGGATTGCGTTGTGGGTGTTGGTCGCCACGTGGACGTACCACGACCGGAGACGAAGAGTCTGAACTGATGAGGAAAAAGGCTAACGACAGAGGTAGACGAAGTGGAGCAGTTTCGATGGAGAAGGGAAGAGAGAGCCTATGGTTGTATAAACGTTCCTAGAGTACATATATATACATATATATATTTACTGTACATATTTGTCTCGCGTCGATCGAGAGGGAACTGGTAGCAGCATCGAAGAGGGCAGCACTGGCGTCAATTATTCCTTCCTGCCGCGTGATCGCGTGGAAACTTGATACACTCGTTATAGACTGATTTTTTACACACGTTCGTTGTTCCTTGTTTTATGAGAATCCACAATTACGGTTATAGGTGGTGGTTTTTAGAAGGGACGCCGAGGTATTCTTGGAAAGAAGATGGGATTTGGAAGGCGAGCATGAAACATTCAAACTTCGTCCACGAAGAGCATGATTATGAGGATTATATTTTTCACGTTCCTAGAAAGTACCTAATATAATTCTACAAGGTTTCACGTCACAATTGAGCCTAAAATGTGTCTAAAAAGGGCACACACATCGACTAGAGTTGGAAATGTTATCGCAGAAGTCGCTTAAAAGGAGACTGTTTTACGAAACGAGACGTTCGTTGGAAGGATTTTTACTTTGAAAGGTGGTATCGCTTCGAGGAGGCTCTTTTTTCTTCTTTTTTTTTTTTCCTTCCTATTTTTTTTTTTAATATTAAACGAGTATCGTTGAATTGATTCGTTAAAGTTTAAACAAATCTCTCTTGACGAACTTTTATCTACACAGAAAACATATCTGCTCGGCAAATTTTCGAGACTATGATGCGGGTTTTGTTTGAGATGAATGTTTCGTTTAGTTCAGTGACATAGCATACTTTTAGCAACGATAGATGGTACGAGTACTCGAAAAATAATTGAAAATACTTGGAAACTAAGTATTTGATCAAAATCAATTCGACCTGTGCCAATCTGATTTAGTGCCATTATTATGAAATTGGAAAGAATTGCAAGATAATATATCATCGTGTCTTGTTCGTAAGAACGTTTCAAATGAAATGTGATAATTAACGATTATCACAAATATTTCTTTCCTGATTCCGAATTTCAACTATGTGATTGTCGCAAATCAGGGAAATCGAGGCCTGATCTATTGATAGATACTATATCACTGTATAAATCGTCGAATGTCAATCACAATTTTATTTTTATCACGCACATGAATTTCTATACTTGCCAGGATGCCAGAAATGTGACGAAAATTTTATGTTATGAAAATCTTGTTATGAAACGGAGGTTTGTGCACTTTTAACAATGAATCCATCTTTTTGTTTCATTACTAATCAATTTTTAAATTTCTTTATATTTATAGTGCAGATACACTAGTCAAAAGTTTAGAATTATGTAAAGAATTGTGTAATGTAAAGATCGAGATGCAAGATTTGAAGAAAAATTAGGTTAGAATTTTTTTTTATCTTGAAAAAGTCTTTCGCGAATAATTGTAATATCTATAATATTAATAACGTGAATATTAATAATGTGCAATTGAAAAAGAGATTCCAAATATAGTAATGCACTTTTTATATCGTGACTTAGATACGACATCGCCAAGATACTAATTTAATAAGGAACGATGAAAGAAAAAACGTTAAAACTGATAGAAGGCGCGTTGCTTGGCAACGTGACGTCATTACATGAATCGCATAGCGCATCTTATTGCCAAGTAACGTGCTCACTATTCTCTACTACGTCATTATCTAAATGATATCTGACATAGATATTGAGAGAATTGTATGGTTATCGTCTAATTAGTTATTTCTATAAATAGATATTCTTAGAAATGATGAATTGAAATATAATCAAATATTGTATAAAAGAAAAGAAAGACAATGAAAATTTCGCTCAGTGAAAATTTTGAAAAATTATTAAGGATATTTCTACATCGATTAATTTCAATTTACGTTAATTAATTTTGATTAATAGTGTTGATAGCAGGAAGAATAAAATAAAAAAAAAAATTAAAATTAAAATCGAAGAAATTTTCTCGATAATTTCGTTCATTTTTGCGCTTCCTGGCGTAATACGTGAGTGATGATTCATTTTCGTTAAATCTCACTGTGTGCTTAACCTATACTAGTGTTGTCTGCTTGGTCCAAACTAGCAATTAGACGAGTCAAGCCGAGGACAAGATTATTCTGAGGACATTTTCAGCGTTTTGGCAACGATTCGAAAATGGTGAGTCACAATAGTGGGCACATTGTGCATTAAAAGAAGCAACATTAGCAATATTGTCTATTGTCACCTGTCTGAGTTTCGCATTTAGAAATGTGATCGTGTTTTATTCTGTTTGAATAGCGAAACGATAAGTGACAACAGCAATTATTAACTCGATATCATCTAAATGATTAATAAGATTACGAGAATAACGAACCAATTTCCCTCGCGAGTGTATGTATATGATCGAGAGAAAAAGAAATAATAATCGAATAGCGTGCACAATTTGAAATTATATGAAATAATATATATATATATATATTTAGATTTCACGATATTTTTTAGTAATGTTGAGTAGAGATGGGTCGAAATCTGATTCTATAAAAATTTGTTGAAAGATCGTCAAATTCTCGAAACTTGGAATAGTCTTTTTTTTTTTATTTTTTATCGAAAATTAAACTTTATTAAACTTTATTAAAATTTTAATTCTCGATAAAAAGTTCAAAGTAAGCCGTTTCGACTAGCAAAGTAACTTGCCAATTGGACTTTAACTATCCAATATCTTTGAATGGCAATTAACTTGTCAAATTTTAGATTTTGGAAATTTAATTTTTCTTTCATACAAATTATTCAAATGAAATTTCATATAATGAATTTATTCGAGTCTCTAATCCAAATTTGTAAAAATTGCAAATCTCGAAATTTCCTTGGATATTTCAAGGTTTCGAGTATCATCCCATCCCTATTTCCTAATATTAAGCGTTTCTTTTGTAATTCCGACCACTGTTACCATATTTGACCATCGAAGGTACAATGATTAAAGGTTAAGTAGCAACAGCAATATAATATTAACAAAGAAACGAACGAATGATATTAAGATTACACTATATATATATATATATTCTTAAAATATTTTTTGTAACAATTTTCATCGTGAACAACAAGTGCTTTCTATACAGTACACATAGAGAACATTATACAAATTGTACATAACTGGCATCAGTATTGGTGGCAAATGTGTCTCGAGGAATAGATGATTGTTTTCTGTACAAATTAATCAATTTTTAATCATATATATATATATATTATAATATTTACAGTTTCTCCTGAAAGTTTGTTATACGCAAGTTTTTATTGTATATATATATACATATATATACATATACGTATATATCGATATATTTTAAACGATGATATATTTACAATACGATTATCGAATTCTTAATTATCGGATATCGTGTTTTATTTTTCCGTGTTTCTTTCTCTTGTATATGGCCAATATGGATGTTATCTAATTTTTATCAAACGCATGGATATCGTTGCATTGCTATTTTATTTTCTTTTTATTTTATATATTATTAATATGAGGGACAGAATACTTATTAATCGATTCATTTATGTAAATGTTTCTTTTTCTTCTTATTTTTGTATCAATAAGAGGAAATATTTTTAAATTTCTTAAAAGAGATACTTTATGTAGAAAAATGAAATTTTTTCTTTTTTTTTTTAAATATTTGTTTCTTTTTTATGTGTTTTAGTGAAAACATATTTTTTAGCATTTTTTTTAAATCCATTGTTATTACATGTTAAAATTTCATATTAAAATTATTTTATTCAATTTTTATATAAAATGTAGATTCATGGCTTAATTATTAGATAAAGTAATTAAGAGTGAAATGAAATAGAAAATTGTGCCATTAGTGATTTTTAATAATAAATAAAAGTTCTATAATGGTATTTTAAAAGAAGATTGTATTGTAATATAAACCATTAAAGAATTATTGTTTTCATTGATTTTATTAACTTTTTTATTAATTTATTTTTTGTCCCTAACAATTCTCACAAGTTTCACTCTCAAATGTATTTATATTTTAATGTCTGTTAGAAATGTCTATCATATAGTTAACTTTTCTGATCCACATTACTGTTCAAAAGTTTGGAAGCAATCATATTTTTATATGAAATAAAAAATCTTAATGAATAAATATTATATAAGTAATCACTAATAATAAATATTAACATTTTCTTTTAGCAAAGAAAAATTAATAGAATTGTCTAATTTATTAATTTTAAAAATTTAATTCTAATTTGTTTTTTATTTTATTGTATTATTCACCAAATTTTGATTTATTTTTTAAAATTTCTTATTACTTCCAAATTACTTTTTTATCAATAGTGTGTGAATATATGAATGGATTAATGAAAATTTTTATTGAAAAAGTTAAATTTAGGCGCATAATAACCACCATTATTGAGGCCCTTCACATTATTCAACACAAAATCTATTAAAAGGAAACTTTTCCTATAGATTATCCTTTGTATATAAACACATCTTAAAAAAAAAAAGGAAACAAAGTTAAATTTTATTCTGGTTAACTACAGAAAGGATATTCTTCCATTGTATTAGAATGATGGTTATCAATATTTATAAAGACAATTATATCAAAGTCATCAATTAAAATATTTTAATTATATGTTATGAAAAATAGAGTTTGATGTGCAAGATATTTCATTAAGTCTGTTACAAATATATATATATATCTTTCATAATATTTTTGTAATATTTTTAATATCTTTTTTGTGACTCTTATTGTTGTCAAAATTTTATATCTATATTCATGAAGCACAAATTGTTCAAAAGATAACACAGATGAAATAGGAATTAAATTAAAAATGCATAATAAAAGAATAGTAATCTTGAATGGTAAAAATGAAATAAGAAGAGATAGTCTACTGCCAGATACTTTCTGTGTTCAATTCAAAACTTTGTGTCTGTTGAATTTTCACTTCAAATACATTATTTTGAAAATTTATTTCTCTCTCTCTCTCTCTCTCTCTCTCTCTCTCTCTCTCTC